GAGGCAAAATGAGCAGGTTCTCAATGGGGCGCTGACGAGTACCGTTTTTTTTTTTTTTGTTGTTGTTGTTGTTTTGATTTTTGGTTTTTTTTGGTGTGGTCTAAAAACAGAAGTATGGCTTTTGAGACGAGCTAAAAGAAGATACAGAAGAAACGCCACGCTCTAAAGAGGTAGTTTGCTAGTTTGTGGTGAGAAGCTTAACATTTAGAATTTCAAGGTGTACAAAGTCTTTGAAAGTACTTATTCAAATGCAGCTTCAGAAAGATAGGAGCAGAAGCGGGGCATGGAGGTGCATGCTTATAATCCCAATGTGGGGGAGGTGGAGGCAGGATGATCATCAGTTTAAGGTTTTCATCCATCATAGAGCAAGTTGGAAGATTTCCTAGGCTGCAAGTGATCCCTACACCCTGCCACACCCCCCCCCCCCGCCCCGGCCACACACACACAGGAAAAGAAGTGAGGAGCATGAATTTGAGCAAACCAAACCACTCTAAATGTTTATGATTGCGTGCGGAAAACACAGAAGAAAGAGTAGCTCCATGGTCAACACTGCTACCAAAGACGGAAAATGTCCACCATAATGTTATTTATAGTGGTAAAATATTTCCTACGTAAATTTATTGTCTGATAGCTAATAGATAATTATTATACAATGAAGTTGAATATTTGTTAAAGTTTTAAAAACTATTTATTTTATATGTGTGCATGTGTGTGTATGTGAGTGTGTGTATGTGTGTGTATGTGAGTGTGTGTATGTGTGTGTATGTGCACCATGTACATGCAGATGCCCTCAAAGGCCAAAGAGAAGGGCATCAGAACCCCTGGAACAGACAGTTGTGGGCCATTCAATATTGGTGGTGGGACCTGAACCCAGGTCTTCTCCGAGAGCAGCAAGTGATCTTAACTGTTGAGCCATCTCTCCCGCACCTCAAAAGTAGTTTAGATTTTTAAAGAATTCATATAGCATCAGGCAGATTTGGTGCACACCTTTAATCCCAGTGCTGGGGAGGAAGAGGCAGGTGGATCCTTATGAATTCAAGGCCAGCCTGGAATAGAGACTAGCTATCTTATCTAGAATAAGTACATGATATATGTAGAAAATTAAGGGAATGTTGTGTAATAGATTTTTTTACTTATAGTTTTCCTGGTTTTGTCTTAGAACTCTACAGTGAGAAAGTATCATTTTTCATATTAAGAAAAAATTTTGTGACTATTAGTATTACAAAGAATTTATAGCTAACATTGATATAATGAGAATTAATTGAAACAACTGGGTTTAAGAATAACAACGTGTATTTTTAGTATAGCTGGTTTTTGAAAAGACTAAGTATGTTTGTAGCAAAACAATGGCAAAAACCAAACACAAGCATGTAGGGCTTTGCGTGTGTGCTTCTGTGGCATTCCACAATTCTTATTGGGAAATTAGTTGAAATCATGAAAATAACAAGAAAATCCGTTAACTCCTCTCGAGTGTCGGCTCATTTGATCTAAAAACCTCTAGAGCAAAAAGACGAAGAGCCTGTGTTTGGCTCCCCAGCTGGGTGACACCTTCCTAGGGTGACACTGAAAACACAGAGACAAACAGCGGGAAAGCCAGGTACCACACAACCATCCAGACCCACTGGGTGAGCTCAGCATCCTCTACGACAGTTAAAAACACCTGGCGCACCAAGCAGTTCGTCTAAAAGTCACTTACCACCTAAATGTTTTTACTTAGCATTGACTTCACTCTAGTTGGCTCAGGAAGGACCTGGAAATATATTTTCAAAAAGCACCAAAATCTTTTCCCAGCCTGAAACAGTAAGGCTGGGGGCCCCTCAGTGTGTGGTGGTGGATGCCAGACTTCAGTTCAGAGTTTGCCGCTTAGCTCTGGGTTCTGGGGATTCTGGAGAACCAGAGTGAACCCTTTGTCTGGGAACAGAGAATGCAAAAGCACAATCATGAGAGCTTATTCTCTTTCCTTCCCGACTGTGGAGCAGTCAGGAAAAATTAACCCTTGTGTTTGTTAACCTCTTAACAGGCTGTAGCCGATCTGTAGCCGTGGAGGGCACAGGTAATTGCCCTAGTTAGTTTGGTATGGACTGACAGCAGGGGAGGATGCTTTGGGGAATGCAAGCAATTAAGCTGAACTGAAGGAGGAGGAGGGGAGGAAAAAGGAAGTAGAGTAGGAAGGAGGAAGGAAGAAGAGAGGAAGAGGAAAAGGAAGGAGGGACAGAAGAGGAAAAGAGTAGGAAGAGAGGAAGACAGGGAGGAGATGGGGAGGAGGGAAGGAAAGAGGGAGGGAGGAGGGAAGAGAGACAGGGGAGGAGGGGGAGGCTAGAGTGAGCTGTTTTACAAATTTGACATATAGGCTCCAGATGTGTGGAGGAAATTCTACCGCAGGCTCTTGGGTTACTTTTCTTAAGACAGGATCAAAGGTGAAGGCCCAAGTTGGAACATAGTGAGGGAAGGGAACTTTCTATTCGTAATGAGAGAAAGTCACAGGCAACAGGCGTGTGTGCGTGTGTGCATGTGTGTGTGTATACATGTGTGTGCGTGCACACATACATGCATCAAAAGTTAAAACTAGAAAAAATAGCAACAGGGTCTTAAGATTTCCACAGTACGGCCACCTCTAGAGTTCCTTCTGCATTGGCTTGCGTGTACTTCCTCAGCTGGAAGTGATTGCTCAGTTACCCACGGCACTTTCCCGTGGGATTCTAAATTTAAAATGTCAATACAAACTCCAAGGCGTGCCAGAGAGGGTTGCTAGGGTCTGAGTCCCCCTTCGAAGCACAGGCAGGTAATTACACTGGGAAAATAGCTCTCTTTCCTCAATGTTATACAGCAAATCCTGTTCCTTTTCCTTTTTCTGGAAACGGTAAACACAGGGAGAGAAAGGGGAATTTCAGACCCAGGGTACCACAATGCTACAGACTTCAAGTCTGGTTTGTAAACCTGTCATTTCATGAGCCTAAAAAAGCAAGGCGATGCTCACACCTCATTGTGGGAAGGCTGCCCTCATACCTCCTTTGGGTGCTGGTGTCTAGGTGCTATGATTTTAAACTCAAGACATAATTAGAAATGAAAGAGGAAAACCAGCAGACTTTTAGGGAAAGGTTGTGGCTGCCTGGAGACTTTTGACTTCGCAAGACAAAGTGAGGGCTAGAGACACAGCTCAGTACACACATCAGCCCTGGGCTTGATCCCCAGCACTGCCATAAACAAGCAAATGAAATGCTGGATATACATATATGCATTCTGTTTGTCTGTGGTGAAAACTGTGTACAAGGTCTACAAGGCCGGAGGTTCAATCTTCACCACTTTTCTTTAGAATGAGAAGTCCTTGAAATATGCATTAACTTTGCTAAAACATTTGCATGCCGACTTTTGTGTTGACCTGGTCCAGTCCTAAGATGCTCCTGGTACATTAGGTTGATACTGCAATATGGCTCCTCTGCTCAGTTTTGGATGTTATTTTTTTAAAAGTTTATTTAACTTCATTCTATGTGCATCGGTGTGCAGGTGTCAGATTCCCTGAACTGGAGTCACGGACAGTTGTGAACTGCCATGTGGGTGCTGGGAACAGAAACTGGATCCTTTGGGAAATCAGCCGGTGCTCTTAACCGCTGACATCTCTCCTGCCCTGATTTGTTAATTCTTTAGATGTAGGAATACCCCATGGATAAGACATTCATTCTTTGAAGCAAATACCCATAACAAAAGCTAACTAAAGGTGAGTTCTGGCATCCATTTCTCAGTGTAGTGACCACTCTGGCCCTGGGGCCACCCTGCCTAAATCCCCTGAATAACTTTTTTTTACTTTTTATTTTAAATCTTTAAAAATTTAAATGTTGATAGGTGACTGTTTCCCCACCCCCGCTTTTTAAAAAAATTATTTTTATTTTATGTGCATTGGTGTTTTGCCATGGGCGTCGGGTCCCCTGGAACCCATAACAGGAACAGGAGTTATAGACAGTTATGAGCTGCCACATGGGTGCTGGGGATTGAACCTCTGGAAGAACAGTCAGTGTTCTTAACCACTGAGCCAGCTCTCCAGCCTGTCCCCCTACTTTTTAAACATTAAAAAAACCGTACTCTTTCTTTGTATTTGTACTGAGAAGGGTGCACATGTGAGTGTAGACTGATGAACAATTATGGGAACCGGCTCTATGTGAGTTCTGAGCACTGAATTCTACGTTGTCCAGTTTAACAGCTTACTAAACCCATTGGGCTATCTCCTCCACCTTTGAGTCAATTAGTCTTTGTACCTCTTTTTTTCCTCAAAAACTAAATATGTTGGTGAATCTTGCAGAGAACATAGCACAAAGCCTGGCCTACAGGATCTGGTACATTCTGGCTAGACACTTAGTACCGAGAGCAAAGCAGTGGGCAGATATAGAAATAAATCCAAGAATATGGAGGGAAACACCTGAACTCTTGGAGAGTGGACTACGTCACTGGAGAAGAGCCAGACCAAGCAAAGAGTATGAGGCAGACAGAACACTGCATCTCAACAGCACACCTGGGAATTGTAAACTGTCCCTTGCAGCTGGACTAAGCTGTGTGAGAACATCATCCCAATGAAAGGATGTTTCCACTAGACTTAGGAGGTGGTACAGCAGGGGGCAGCAGTGAAACATGGGAGGTGTGCCTTTTGACACAGTATGTAGGGCAAGTGGAGATAAAACTGGATATACACATCCAAGGCAAACCTTACAGTGTGTGAACCGTGAAAATGTTCTCCATGGTGGTGGCATGTCTTAATCTGCCATCAACTAATGAGAAGAACAACAGCAGAGGATATGCTGGCCCCAGGGAAGTTGGAGGAGCCAGGGAATAAGGACTCAGGAAGTAGACAGAATAGAGGTTCATTTTGCTTTGCTTGCTATACATAGCAGAGTATTAACGTAGGAGCTGGGCAAAGGAAGCACACAGCGCAGCAGCCAGCCAAAACATTCACCTAGCATGAACAAGGTTTGGGCTTCACCCCCAGCCCACAAAATAATCAAGATGCTCAGTTAAATTAAAAATTCAGATGAATTTTAATGTGTCTCTTATATCACATATACTCAACACACTCAACTTTAAGTGATACCTTATGCTCTTCTTTGCTGTCAAGAGCCTTATCTCCAGCATATTTAATGAGGAAATGAACAAATCATCACACTCTAAGGCATATATGGTAAGTGCAGCTGAATAATCAGGACAGGACGAGACCTCCACAACAACAGCAATGGACATGGAAGAGATGATCATTTTCTTGGAATTGATAAAGTCTGATGAAAAGTCAGGTAGTTTAATCTGACTCTGGAGCAGAGTCCTGAGTGAATCTGCCAGTCTTCACTCACTCACTGTGCAGCCCTGAGAGCGGCCTCAAGCTCTCTTCATTGGAACCGGAGCGTATGACGTCTACTTTACAGGACCACTGGAGAGAAGTATGTACAAGGCACCTAAACATGGGACGCTCTCCCTACATGCTAATCCCTACTGAGAATTAAAAAGTCACAGGGCCAATGGGCTGCCTGTCACAAATACTCGTTAGTGGCATCCAATAATAGCAATGTTGACGTAAGTTATTTTATTTCCATGATCAGCTATTTACACTGTACAGACACTAATGAAAAGCACCCACAAGTTCACAGTACATTACAATATATTTACTTTAAAAATATATTCCTTTATAAAAGGTTCAAAGAGCACTGGCATGTCCATGTGACAAAACTCTCAAAGCCTGTCACCAATTCTGTGATAGCCAGAATGCTTCCAAGTACTGTCAGTTCACAATCACAGGTCACCATTAGAGTTGTAAATACATACAGGTTTTAAATAAGAAAGAATTCTACAGTGGAAAGTCTTGAGGCGATACTGTTAGTTCATTAACATAAATACTTTCTCATAATAATGCACAACAGCCAACCTCCACCCAAGGACACATCTATCCCCAGAGCTCTGCAGCCCTGGGGATCTGGCCCCACTCCTCTACTTCTTCTTCTTGGCTGCTTCTCCTGGCTCCACTCTTCGCGTCTTAGATGCACGCTCATCTTTGTCATCATCTTGAAGTGGGAAAGAAGAGAGCTTCATTAGTAAGTCTTTAAAAATCAACACAGAAAACCCCTTTATTAGCTTTATACCAAAGAGCTCACTCGTCAGCTGTCTGAAAGCTTGCCAATGAAAACTAAATACTATTTTCAGATCCCGATATTAAGCTACATCTGAAAACAAGCAAATTGTAAATTAACTTTTTAGGAACATGTTAATGTGGCTTAATTTATCTAATTTCCATGGAAACCAGCTCTTTCTGAAACAGCCAGTCCCTAAATTTACCACTGCACACACTGTTTGCACTTAGACACAGTGCACCTCATGGGACCAGAGCAGTTTCTTTCTACAAAACATGCATCACCTTTAGCCATGCCAAGTGGCCACCACTCGGACTTTTCCTCTCATATTTCCTCTCCCAGTCTTACAATCAACCCACCATATGTTCTGAGGTTAAAAGCTCAAGGAGGTTCAGAGAATCTCACAACTGTCTATTCTAATTCTGGACTATTCCTTCCTAGACGTCAGAACATCTTTACAGCAACAGACTAAGGAAAATTTGGGTGGAGGAAGACTATAGAACCATACAATAAACAGTACCTCCTTCCACCCACACTGTTACTGTTTATGGCCACGGAAAATTCCCATGAATAAAAGTGTCAAACCTGAAAAAGTGGACCTTTTTATTCTACTTAAAAAATTCAATAATGTGTCTCAACATACCCAGGCGAGCACAGACTAGCTGCTAGTTCATACCTCTCCCTCAACAGTGTATGCTGCAAGAGTCTAGCCACCTGTGGTGATGGTACCGGCAGCGTTTCCCTCCAGCGGCTGAGACAGGAGGACTGCTAGGAGTTTGAGGCCAGCCAGCGATACACAGCAACACACCAAAAGAATCCCATAGATGCACACAGCTTCTCACCTCCTGACTTCCATGTAGCAGGGACCAAACCCCTTCAGACAACCTTCCATACTGAACACCCTCAGCCTTGACTTTACTCCGCTCCACCCCCCCCTTTCCCTACGTAGCCTAGACTTGCCTGATTTCATGATTCTCCTACCTCAAGCCTCCCAGGTACTAAGATTACAGACACAAAGTCTCTGTGCTGGCTGAACTAAAGTCCAAAATACAGAATACGGTGACATAAAAATATTTTGATGTTTTAAGGCCTTCACATTAAAAACTTAGAGAAACTGCCAAGGTGAAATCATAAATCACAGGACGAAAATCTACAACCTGGCTGGGTCCTAGTAGGGCCTGACTCTCCCACTTCCGCTTCCTGGGTATAGGGATTAGTGGTGTGAAGCCACCATACCCACATCAACAAGCTTTGGTTTTAAGCTGGAGCTTAACACTCAAGCTTACCTTGAAATTATTCCAGAATTAGTAATGGAGAAGTTGAAAGCATTTCTGAAGACTACTATCACGCCACATTATAGAACACATTAAAAAGGAACTTTTCTTTTAGTCTCCAACTTACTACAGGTAAATCTACTGATCAACACTGAAACCACACACTACAACTGGAAAAATGAGTCCTGTGAGTGACTGGAGGCGAGCGCCTGCCCCCTACTGTCAAAATAAGGTACTGCCTTAAAAACTAGCACAGGAATAGCTTAAAAAACAAAAACAAAACAAAACCAAACCAAATCCTAATCCTAACACAGCACACACACACCGATATGAAAACAATATTTTCTATTACACAGCTTGAGTCACTCAAGGTAAACATTAACTTAACCTGTTTTAAAACTAAAGCAGGCCGGGCGCTGGTGGCGCACACCTTTAACCCCAGCACTCGGGAGGCAGAGGCAGGAGAATCTCTGTGAGTTTGAGGCCAGCCTGTCTACAGAGTGAGTGCCAGGACTCTTTCACAGAGAAATCCTGCCTTGAAGAAACAAAAACAAAACCAAACCAAAAGTAAAAACCAAAAAAAAGCAAAAAAGCAAAAAACAAAAAAACAAAAAACCCCAAAACCAATAAAACCCCCAATCTGCTTCATTAGCTGGTTTTTGCTATTTATTTGTTAATTTGTTTATGTTACTAAAGCTATGAAAATATAACTTATTTCTCTGCATTTCACAATCACTAAACAAGCAGCCCTGATAAACAGTGAGAGACAAGGCTAGATTTAACCTTTCTCAGCTCCTCTAGATTTTCAAAGTAAATGGCAAAAAAGGACAAAGGAAGAATATGGGATGGCCAGATAAAAGCAACGTAGTGTAATAATTAATTTAAAATATAATTAAGGAGGTAGACTTTCCAATACATGCTTCATTAATTACAAACTATAGGTAAACAATACTGTCAGCGGCTGGGGAGATGTTTCTGGACTTGTGTTCGAATCCCCACAGTCTATGCAAAAAGCCCGACCAGTAAACCTGTCTGTAACCTCAGTGCTTCCAAGGCAAGGTAGGAGAGACAGAGCGAGAACGCCAACTCAAAGGCCAGCTAGACACAGCATGCATGAATACATGCATACAAAACACACACAAGCATACATAGCAGAAAAAGTCTCAAACAAGGCAGAGGACAAGGACTGAACCTAGGGTTGTCCCGTGGCTTCCACACTTACACACATACAAGAAGAAAAAGGCAAATCAATATTTGCGGTGACTTCACGTGGTATTGCAGTCTGCAATGGCAAAAATCACTCCTCAAAAGGAAACCATCAGCTGGGGATGTTGATGAGTTGGTAGAACGTTCACTGAGCATGCGCGAAGCTCAAATCTAGACCCACATAATGTGCAGAGAGGCACACACTTGCAACCTCATTTTGGGAGGCAGAGGCAGGAGGATCAGAAGTTCATGGTCATCTGGCTACGTAGTGAGTTTCAGACCAAATCTCTAAATAGGTGGGGGCATTTATTACAAGAGTTAGATTCAGTAACCAACACTTAAATCCAATTTAACAAGATTTGCCAGCCGGTGGTAGCACACACTTTTAATCCCAAACCAGGCAGATCCTGGGTCCTCAGGCCTATGAGTGCAGTATGTTATGACTGCTGCTTCCTGAGCCTCATGCGATCCAGCTTTAAGCCAGAAAACCCTTGGTCTTTTTGTCTTTTTAATTGCTTACATTCAGTTTCTGATCAAAAGGACAGAGTTAGCTATGGTAGGTAATGTGGATGTTATTTGCCATTTATATGAATTTCTAGTAACTGAACCCACAAGTTAGAAAAAAGATGATCCTTGCTTACTTGCATATAACCTCTGGGCCTTTGTCACAAGGGGACAGAGATGTACGGGCACCAGACTACCAACTGGTCCCTTGAGAAGAATGATTACTTCTTAAACTATGACAACACGATGGGAGAAAACCTCGGCTTAATAAGGCACACATCCTAGTCAAGGCTGACAGTTCCCAACGCTGTGAACTTAGGCAGAGTCTGTCACGTCTGACTGTTTTCTCATCTACAAGACAGTAATAATGAGCTACGGGTCATACTGTGTCAGGTGTTAATGCTCGATTAGGAAACTTGCACCAAGTGTTTATTGTGACCTTGGGCAGTTATAAGCTCTCATTCTACATTTCCCTATTCTGGTTTTGTAAGGCTGTACGAGGATTCTTTATTTAAATACTTAAGTGCCATAAGATAAAGGTATTAAAACTCACAGTTTAAGGGCTTCAAAAAACCTTGACAAGGATATGCCTATAGTCCCAGTGCTAGGGAGGTGAAGGCAGGAGAACTCAGTTCAAGATATCCTCAGCAACAGTAGACACCCTCCTGCTATAGAGAGAACAACCTTTTGCTAAGGTTGGCCCGTGTACTGGAAGAACAGAAATCTGTTTAACAAAAAAGCAACTAGCCTTTAAAACAATAGTCCAGAATGCTGAGCTCAACTCGACAGCCATCCACTTCCCACAGCTAACTGTGGGACCACACACAGAGGACCAGATGGGGGTCTCACAAAGCAGGGTTCTATGAACAAACAGCTCACAGGCGAGCGAGCAGCACTGGCCCATCCCAGGTAAAGGAGAATAAATTACTATCAATACAGTGTACTAGAAATTGTTAGATTACTGTGGTAGTCCAAGTGAGAGACAAAACTATGAGATTACCAACAAAAGCAAGAAACTCTGTCCTGCTCCCGTGCACAGGATTCCACTCTGCCAACCTGATTTTAGTTCTAAAGCACAACTGTCTCAATATAAAACGAAGCCTTCAACACACGCCAGCCATAGTTACAGGAACCTGTGCTGAACACCCGCGGCTCTAACCAGGCACTGGGGACTTCGGAGAGTCTGCTTCAGGCACAGATGGGAGAGGCGGTCCCACCTTTAATCTTACTACTGCGAGGCAAAGGCAGACTGGCCTCAAAGAGCATCCAGGCTACACAGACCTTGTCTCATACCAAATAAATCGGAAAACCCGAAAGATGGAAGTGATTCTTGTTGGTATTCAAAGTCAAGGCTGTCAAGTCACTAGAGTCTAAATGACGCCCACTGAGTACCTCTCCTTAAAGAGAGGCATCAAGGGCTGAGGTCTCAGGAGCACTCTTACCTGATTCCACCGTCTCCTCCCCTTCGGGCAGAAGCCGGGCTTTCTTAGCATTCTGGGGGGCATCATCACCATTGTCCTCATAGATGTTCGACCACTTTATCGCCATGTCCAGCTCGGGCGGCGGCGGCTTCTTCTCAGTACTGTAGGTCTCCGGGGGCGGCACATAGTTGGACTTCCAGACTTTGAATTCCTTTGGAGGCTGTTAAGTAAGCACATTAAGAAACCCTGTGACGAACCGAGGTTCCTGCGATCCATACGAGCGCATGCACCTCCCTGTCGACTGCTCATCTTTCTGGCTGGCTTTTTAAATTCTATTTTATTTTCTAATCCTTAAAGGCTTTAGAGACACATTTTCTTTTCCATCAACATCACAATACTGTTAAGCGAAAAGTCAAAGGGTTTCCCTAGATAAACAAAGCTAATAACTTTTAGTTACCAAAGAAGAATCCAGTCTCAGATACTACGGCCAGGCTGACCCCTTCAGGAGGCTGCGGCAGAGACACTGTCTTGGCGGCAGCAGCGCAGGCACTTCGGCGTCAAAGGGAAGGGGTCTCGGGGAGAAGCTGCAGCAGGGGGCGGGGAGTCACCACCGTTAGTCGTCGCCCGGCTGGGGGCCCCGAGCGCGGAGGGGCGGGCGAGCCCAGGCTGAC